CATATTACACAAACATCACCTTTCCATCATATTATCAACGAGTACTCTTACATCACACCGCCATTATACTCATGTTTTAATCTTAAAAGATTTAGACTCTTATTTTGGTATTTTTATACTTTTTTACTCCTATGGAGATTTCTTAAAGTTTTAGTTCACCAAGAGCGGTGGCTCTAATACCATTTTAGAATAATGATATTGCTTATTCAATTATAGAGTATATGATAGATCAGAGTACATATCGGAGAGACTTTTAACATATCAGAAATAGAAAAGGGAAACTGATTAAAATACAACATCTACCATAAACAATTTTGTCTTATTTTCGACTTTTAAATTTTCTTTTATTGATTTGTTTCTAGTTTTTATTTTTTATTTTAGTTTCTAATTTCAAATTTTATTTTAATTTAATTTTAAAAAAATTATATAAATATTATAAAAGTAATATGTAAAAAAAATAAGGATAGAACGAGGATCCACAACTCTAAATGGGGATAAAATAAGGATGAAATGGAGAAATTAGATGTGGCGTTGAGTTAAAAGTGAGGATGATGGGGGTGGTGGTGGTGGTGACACCCCATAGCATAAGAGGTCGAGTTTGACGGTGAGAGGGGTGGGCCCAGTACGTGATACTACCAGAACCTATCACAAGCCACTCTTATTTAAACACTTTGATATTAGTAAGAGATAAACCCCAAAATCATGGTACCATTTTGTTTTGAAATGGAACAGTACATTACCATATTTAAGCTCAAACAGTGTCAAAAAATTAAGCATACATTACTTAAAGAACACTAAAATTAAATATTTTTTGTGACCCAATAGTTTTTCAAACGACCGGGGTCGTGTATAATGCCGACGTCGAGGGGTTTAGTCGTTGGCCGAGGCTGACTGTGTTTTGGCATTTCATGCTTTTGGACTTCTCTCATTGGGCTTAGTAATGATTGGGTCTGATACCCCCATGTCCAAGGTATCCATTAGATGGAGTATTATTAATCATGTTTCTAAATACCACACGGACATGTATAATTTTATTCTTTGAGTAAGACGACTACATTTTGAATTTTGTTCCATTATTTTAATAAATTGAATTAAAAGGGAACGACAAATCCTTTATCCTTATGTGGTCTTTGAGTCCATATTTATTACGGAGTATATAGATTGTAGTACAAAAACATGCACCATGTAAGAATTAAGTTTTTTATATAAGAAAAAAGATCGACATGAAAATGTAAAATGACTACCTGTCTCATGTGAATCATAGAAGGATTAGGCTATTTGTACCTCAAGATTTGTACCATAATTTGTATACCATAGGTTTGGACTTTCATTATGTTTAAGTGTAATGCTAGGGTAATAGTTCACAGAGACACAAAATGTTAGTACAAATTTTTGTTAACGCATCATCATTTTGTGTTAGTGTGAACCATCAAAATGCTAGTTATCCCTTTAGTGTAACTTTTGGGTACATGTTTTTGGTGTAAGTGTAGCATTGGTGATCATAGAATCATTCAATGAAGTCATTCAAGTTTCATTATCGGTAATAAGACAACTAAATAATTAAATCGGATGGAAATTACACAATTGTGTTTTGTATTTTTGTCAACGAAACCACAAAGTTTCTCCCAATTGTCTCTTTTTATTTAAAGTTGCTGTGGAGTTAATTGTTGCAGTGTAAGTAGTGCGTACAGGGAACTTTAATTAGAGTGGAACAGATCGAAGAGACAGGGACTTCTCCTTGTGTGGCTAATCTGTATTTGTGAATTGTGAGAGAATGTAATTAAGAGATGGCCAATTATTATTTTTCCCGAAAATCATGGTTGGCTCCTTCTAAAGCAACAGAATTAGTGGTTCAATTAAGACTTTTGAACCAGCATAATATACCTCTAATAGTCGTCTCTTTACAGCTGGTTGGCAGCAACACACGTACTACCAATCATACTCAACCACAAGCTAAGGTAGTGCCAGAAAAGATTAACCTGGGTTCGAATCCTGACAATCGGATCTGTTCTTAAGATTTCTTAAGCTCGAGCAATGAAAAAATGGGGTCTTACCTAGAATTACCAACTAAAAATTAAAATATATTTTTTATTAAAATTGAAATGCAAAAACTATAACTATAAAATTTTTGTATATAAAAAATATATATAAATAAAAAAGATAAAAAAGTATCTTAAGTGACACTAGTTGAGAATTGTGTCCATAACTTGACATTCAAATGTAGGAATATAGCATTAGTAGTAATCTTGTACTATATTCCGTAGTTTTCGGTCTTCAAATATGAAGAAGTATGAGGAAAAGATATTTTTTGGACTTAAAAATTTATTTCTAGGCTACCTAGAAAGCTACACTTAAAACATTTGGCGCCTCCTAAACTTGGGAGGCTTGGGGCCACCACTCGCCTCCCCGACCTTCCTTATCCGGCCCTGTAGTGACAATGGCAAATAAAATGACCATGTTAAATTAAAGGTTTTCAACATATATGAGGATAAATTTTACTCTCAATGCGATTAAGATTATAGTTCAATTTAATTTCTCTCTTACTACTATTTGAGCGAATAGTGGGAGACGTTGGGGGTTGGGGTACAACATAATTTTTTTTTGAAAAACTGTGTAGGTTTGTTAAATTCAAGGCCAGACCGAGGGTGGGCCGGGCCAAGGTACTGTCAGCCCAGGCCCAATTCTTTAAGGGCCCAAACATTTTTATTTTTTTAATTATATATGTTGTATGTTTTTTTAGAAAATATTTTAAAAACTTAAATTTCCAATGTAGTTTTTACAAAGTTTAATTATAGTAGTATAATTTTGTTATGTTTATTATTATAATTTATTTGTTAGTATTTTAAAGCGGCTTAAATTGATTACACTTTACAGGCTTATATAGTTGGAGCTCAGAAAAATCAGGGAGTATTCAGTAACAAATTATTGGTAAATTTAATCCAATTACATAACTTTTCTGAAATATCACCGTGCCGATATCATGTTGGAAAAAAAATTAACAGTGCAATTTAATAGTTGACACCAATGGTGAGCAAATCTATAAAGAAAAGATTGCATGTATCTTGTCAATTGGCATCATCTATATACTTAATTAATGAATGGGTTAGACAAAACTACGGAGTAACTTAGATGGGTTATGCTCCCCTAACCTGCAACAATTATCGATGTTTAGACACTGATGGTACCATTTGTGAAGTTAAAGAAATATTTTCAGATTTGGATAATCATATCTCTCATTGGTATTCCCTCCTCTCTTAATTGTCTATTTTATTCACTTTTCGATACAATAAAAAAATGAATATGGATTTTAAATTAAAGTCTGGTAGCTGGAGTCTGAAATTATGTTCGCATATACTCGGAGTATATAATGACGGGTCGAGAAATTCGGATAGTTGGGATACAACAGATCGTGGGTCCGAAGACAACCTTTCCAAATTTTATACTCGGTAATAGACAATATACTTCATTTGTTTTTAAACACTTTCTATTCTTATTTTTACATGCAAAATCCATCTATTTTAAAAATGATTTTATTTGTAAATTGGAATGGAAATAAAAAGTAAAACTTACATGTTTAAAAATTACATCAAAATTTTTATAAAACAGATGATGACAAAAATATTTTGTTAAATGACTAATGATAAAAGAAATCACCCAAAAAAGAGGAGTGTAACATACTCCCTCCGTCCTAAAACTTTCTTCCCGGAGCACTATTCCAACTTCACGGAAATTTATATTTATTTGTGTTTTTTCATGGCCTATATGATAAAATAAAATATTCTTGTCACCACTTGTTTTGTTGAACTTTTGATGTAGTTTTTAAATATGTATGTTTTATTTTTTATTTCTATACCAATATTTAAATAAAATAGATTGAAAAAACTTGGGATTTTTCTTCGTTTTACGCAACGGAAAGAAAGTTTTAGGACAGAGAAAGTATCATTTATACTTAAAATAGGAATTTTATGTTTTTTATCCCTAGAAGTTTGAGGGCCTTGCCCTAAAGCAAAAAATTAGTTGGGGGCCTACTTCTAAAGGGTAAATCCGCCTCTGCATTTATATACTCCCCCGGTCTGTATCTCATTATAATACATGTATTGCATCTTTAATTTAATTATTACTACTAATTTCGTATTGTGATGGGCAACAAAAAATGCAAAGGCTCACTAGGGTCCACACCATGAATGACAATTGTCTTTAAATTTATACAAATATTGACGATAATCATCGTGAATTTTGTGTATTGATAGACGATTATTGTAAATATTTGTACAACTTCACAAACAATTATGATCCATGGTGTCAACAATATCGGGTTTCTAGCATGACTAATAGGTGATAGCTTGAAGAAAATATTTCCTTTTTTATTAAAGTATTGTGACTTTCTTTTTCATCAATCTATAAAGAATTTTTTTTTTACTTTTTCCACATATAACCTTCTATTCTAAAATTTAAAATGTTACGTTCATAGTCTTTTATATTTGAGAACTATTCCATGAAATTTTTATTTTAAAAGACTGGTCATTAAATGATTTTCAAATATAATATATCATGAACATTAAATCATGGAATATGACTAAGTCAAAAAAAAATCCATGCCAAAAAAGATTATGTATAAAATTTAATTTTTTCAATGACACGCTAAAAATTCATTCTTACGGAGTACTTTAGTTTCTTTAAAAAGAAATATCTACGTGGATTACAAAATTGTCTCTTCCAAATAAATTTCAATAACTCAATTTTATATTGTTCAACAATTTTTTAAAATCTGCAAAAATTAAACAAAATTTCTTTTAGGAAGGAAACAAGGGAGTAGTTTTTCTCCACTGGGGACATATTTCAACTAGGCAATATAACTTAGTTACTATAAAGGATACTCAGTCAAACTTGAGAGAATTTTGTAACTCGGGCAGTAATGCACACATATGATATTCAATGACAAGCTACTTTTGGGCGGATAGAAAATGGGTCCCAAAAGAGGGAGGATATGTACACGCTTGAATACACAGTAGTAGAAGCTGCATATATGTACTACACCCAGAGAAAAATATCTGGTGCAAACATCAATTACTACTCCATTTAATTAAGAATATATTGATACATGGGAGGAAATTGGGGATTAGCATTTATTGAACCACATTTCACTTGTAAAAATCATCTCCCTAATTCCTATCTACATTAGCCTCTTCTCCCCCTTCCCTTCCAACCAATCAAATGAACGTTGATGACCGTCTATCATCAACCAAAGAACCAGCCGAATCCTAAATTACCCGGCGCAGCTATGTCAACATATCCTTTCGGGCGGGGAGGTTTGGTTTAGTCCCATTTGGACAACGCTTTGCAATTCACCATCACAAGTAGAAGGGAACTGCAACATGTTAAAAAAGCAACATATTCATTGCCACTCTTATATGCACAATATTGGGTGACATTCTTTTTTGGGTTTGTAGAGTAGGTGAGCAGTTACATTACCTGACTAGGAGCTTCACCAAATCCATCCAACAGAGGTAACTGCATTCCCATGACGTGGCACGGTGAGCTCTCCAACGGGCCCACAGTGGAAACATTGTTGTGTTGTTGTGGAGGTTGCATGTGGTGATGCAGAATATGGAAGTTTGGTGGCAAGGAGGAAGAGGAAGGGGAGTCCAAAGGATGACATATCTGGGCAAACATGGGTGTGCCAGGTTAGATGTTTCTGTTTCAAATACCCTCCTCAAAATGTTCATTTAAAGTGACAGTGGTGGGATTTAATTATACTCACATCCATTGGCATGTTTTTGTCATTGCTAAAATCCAGACTTGGGTTTACCGATGCTAACTTCATAGACAGGAACTACAGACAAGAAATATGTAAGTTAATTTGATCAGGCAATAAACCAAGAAGATTGCACATCATGAAACTTTGGATAAGTTTGGTAAAGCTCAAAAAAGAAAAATACAGTAAGAACGCATATATGTGTAGAGCGAACAGGTGAACTGAGATTAGGCATTATTGATGGGCTTTGACAAGCAGTTGGCAAGCTCGACCAATCACCCAACCCAATCAAATGACTCAACTGAATGCCAAGCCAAGTTCACTTGATCACTATGGCCAGAGCAAGTGATCGCTTAAAGTAGATGAAATGGCTAGACTTGTGTCTGAATGAAATATTTTAAAATCTGTTTTTAAGGAAACCAAAGAAAATAAGCTCAAATTTTTAAATTCTTAAGCATTTTAAAATCAAAGAAAGACATTATTTATCATTGTCAGCCACCAGTTTGGTATTAACAATAGTTAGTGCCAGTGTCTTGTAAAAAAAAGTTAAAAGGACTGGATTTTTACAGAGCTGAATTAATACAGAGGACTAGAGGAGGCACTGATTTACCTCAACTTGTCTTTGCAAGGACTGAACATAGTTTATAATTTCATCCAGCATGAGTGCTTTTCCGGTTACCTGCTTGTGAAATTGTCTACCCTTCATGAGAATTGAATGGAGAAACTACCAAGTAACAACAGAAACAATATTTTTTTAAGAACCAAACTTACCTTGTTACAGCCTGGAACAAGATCCTGCAGAAGCTTCATCCTTTCGCTAATCTTTTCTCTTCTTACCTTCACCATATTTAAACAGGAGACCCTAAATTATGTAATCAACTACTGAAGAATCAACAGATTTTACCCGAAAAGAACTCACTCTTTCTGCAAGACTATGGCTGTCAGTGGCTTGACCCCTTCTAGCTCTAACATGGATGTAATCCTTTGGTGCCTCTGGGGGCTTTTGGTTTGCCTTGGATTGCTTCTCACTGTTATAATCCTCTGTAACATCATCTGTCAACTTGGATCGCTTCGGGCTCGAATTGTGATCCGTTTCAAATCCCTAAAAATGAACAAAATTCAAAGTTCCAATGTTAGTATACTAGAATCCCAGCGCTTTTAAGAGCACTCGTTTCAATTGTATCAAATCAGCTCATACCTTCCCGCCATTAGTAGTGTCTTCCATGGACCTTCCTCGTGCAGCTGATTTCCTCTTCCTAAGATTCATGTCACCCTGGCTAATCGACCCGCTGGCCACCTGCTCGGAAACAGATGAGGCCTCGTTTGAATTTGCCGGAGCTCCGGATTTCTGGTTTTGCAGCGGGAATTCGAGAGCAGGGCTACTGGAAACCCTAGATATCGCGGTGGATCTGTACGGAAATTTGGAGTTACCGTTTAAAGCCAACTGGCTTTTTCTGCCATTGAAACTTCGGCTCCCGAAATTAGAAAATCTCGCCGCTCTCTCTGCGAAGCCGGGGTCGGCGAGGAGAGCATGCGGGTTAGGCGTGTTAAGGGGAAATGAATTGAGGGGCGCGGTATAGCACGAAGCGTTAATGGTGACCTCACTGTTCCCGGAGTAAGAGCCGGCCGCGGCCGCTAGCGGCGGCGGAGACGGGGTGCAAATGTTGCCGAGATCTCCGATCAGTTCGCGTATTGCGAAGGCGGATGCCGCAGGGGAGGAATCGAATTGGGTGTAATGGTAGAGAGAATCGTCCCAAGGCCGGTTCAATTGGGATTCCGGTGAAGTTTTCCAGCTGGAAGCTGTGCATGGAAATGGCGCCGGAGCTCCGCCGTTGAGAAAATACCCATTCTCCATGGGAAGAAAGCAATCAAACAATCAAAGAAGAAATGGGATTGGTACGAAAAGGAGAGTGCAAAGAGAAAGTGGAAAGAAGGGGGGGAAGAAAGTAGAAGAGAGGAAAAGGTGTTATATAGCAGAAAAACCGCAGCTGTAAGTTTGACCTTTTCTGAAATTTTTTGTTTTTTCTCTTTCTCTACTTGTATCTTTTCCTTAGTAATTACTGACACTTCTCTTCTCCCATTCTCCCACTCTATATTGGACAAAGACAAAAATAAGAGTTATACTCCCTCCGTCCATAAATAAACTTTACATTACGCGTTAAGATGTTTGACTGAATTTATTTTCCAATCATTTTATATGAAAAATGGTGTAGAATTGAAAAATAAAAATTACATATTAAAAAACTATATCAAAAGATCTATAAAACTAGAGGTGACATGACTATATTATTTTATCAAATGAGTAACGAAAATAGGTCAACAAAGTGAATAAAGTTTGACCATGTGAATAGTGAACGTAAAGTTTATTTGTGGACGGAGGGAGTATATGTGTGTATATATATATATATATATATATATATATACGGAGTATATATTAGTATTTCTACCCGTGCCACTCACAGGTTCGGATTAAATTTTTTTATTCTACAACATGGATCATTATTTTTGTTTGGTGTATTAATTAAACATCAAATATAAATAATCTAGATTTGATGTATTTCTACAGATCTATAACTTTTCTCCCTGTATAAATTCAAAAATATATCAATATAAAAAGTAATAGTGATCCAATGATTCTTTTTCCTCACATTAATTTAAAAAAATTAAATTACCGACCTTATAATTATATAATTAAAAAATAGGATTCTTCTAATCCATAATCCCAACTACCCCCCCTCCCCCCCCCCCCACGCAATAATTATAAAAAATTATTATTCTTTCTTGCATTATTAAAAAAAGAAATCTTAAATTAGTGATACCAAATATATATGATTAAACATTTTAATTTTAAAATATTAAGATTCAATTATTCTTCTCCACACATTGATTTTAAAAAATATAAAAAATGTTAGTGCTTCAATGATTTTGCCGGAATAGTATTATGGTCGAGATATAAAATGTTCTATCAAAATACAAATTGTAACGCCCCAAAATATACCCTAAAATTTCTTGAATTAAATATTCAATTAAACAAAATTTGTTTTGATTAAAAGAAATTATTGTTGGGCTTTGGGCCGAAATAAAATGTGTTTTGATATCTAATATCACAAGCAGGATAAATCTCATAGAGATAAACCCAATATGTTGACTATTTGTGTGGTCTTGATTGGGAACCTGAGTACAGACCCAAATCAAGAATAAATTAAGAAATTGACTTGTCTACATTTATAACTTTTCTAAATGATTTTATTTAGTACCCTTATTTACATATGAATTAATTATGAGAACCTTTTTGAATAAAGGTCAATTGAATCAATTTTGACTCTGTCAAAGTCAAACACCCAAAAATATGATTTTGGAAAAAGTATAACGAATAAATGTAAAAATTATATCGTTGGATAGAGTTTAATTTCACGATTGCAACGGTTCAATCGGATTTCAATTTGGAGAAAGTTGGACCAAAAAGTGTACCCCAACTGGAACCAAAATTAGTCCCAATCAGGGACTACACTCCAATCGGCGCTTACTGTTTAATCGGCGCACTAGCCAATTTGGGTGACTCAAGAATATTTCATCCATGTCTTCTTCTCCTTCCTTCCTCTATTTAAGAAATCCTAATTCTCTCAATTCTCCACCAAATCATCCCAAATTTCTTCCTAAACTGCTGCCCTGGTGAGGAGAGTTTGCTGGTGTTTCCATTTCAGAGAGAGGTCGCCGGAGTTGAGAGTATTCGCCGCCGGAAGTTTCGCCGGAAAATTTCCAAAACCTTCATTAAGCTTCGAGGTAAGCCCGTAGATATATCTAATGACTAGAATGTTCATATAGGTCGTTTCTACGTTCATAAATGCTTATTTGGTTGAGTTTTATGTTTGACATGTTTGAAGAACCAAGAATCATAAACTTTGAAATTGTTGTTAAAACTACAAATTAATGGTACCAAAATGATCTATGAACCTTGGAGAACCTTTTTGTATACTTTAATTGAAGTTTGGGAACTTAAAATGACATTTTCGCAAGTTGGCTCGAGGTAGAAGACGATGAACAATCGGTTATCAACTTGAAAATCGATTATTCATTGTTCTGCAGATTTTTGGAATAAAGCTGAGCAATAATCGACTGTCAGAATGTGATAATCGATTATCAGCCCTCTCTGAAGTTGGATAATCGATTATCAGAGTGTGATAATCGATTATCAGACCATTCTGAACATCGAACAGTAGACTATCAGAAGTGACAGTAGACTGTCTCCCTACACTATTCAAGAAAATGAAGCCAATAGCCAACAAACGAGTTTCCTATCATATATTAATCAATTATTGTTTAGAAAACATGATTTTTAAACAATGAAATCCTATTTTTGATACCAATTGATTATGATCTTTATAAAGGTGAATTTTCATAATAAAAAAATGATATTTTTGACAAATAAAATCTTGTGTGATGCATGACGGTAAGCTAGGGTGTTAACACCCGAAGCTAGGCCGCTAATTGTTATTGAATATTATGTTGATTGATGATTATGGTAATAATTATTGATTGATGATTATGATGATTAAATCTTGATAAATGTTCTAAATGGAAATTATGAATGATTAAATCATAATGAATATATTGATGTTTGAGAAAATAATATGTATTGTCAAAGGGTATCTAGAAGACCTCTAAGATATACCCATATTAATGTTGATTTGAAAGGTATCTAGAAGAACTCTAATATATACCTATATAAGTTAGGCCTTGCGGGTATGATGCCCGGTGGCTAGGGTTAAAACGTACGTACGGGATCTACAAACCAAACTTGAGGCACTCGTTTGGGGATACCACCCAACCCGACAGTGAGCATTTCGGATCCGCTGTTCGGTTTTTGGATGACCTTAATCGAAGGTAAGTTTAAGATTTTGAAAACCTTTTTTGAAAATTTATATCTTAAACTAGGCCTAGCTTAAGGGTTAGATAAGAGTACCTTAAACTTGAATATAGTTTAACTATGTTAGACTAGAATTCGTTTAAGAGTTGGTAAACATCAAATAGATTGGCCTTAGACTAAGAATAGTTTAAGGATATTGTTGAATGACAAATGATGAATATTGTATGATGTATGTTGAATAAAAATGTNCAAACCAAACTTGAGGCACTCGTTTGGGGATACCACCCAACCCGACAGTGAGCATTTCGGATCCGCTGTTCGGTTTTTGGATGACCTTAATCGAAGGTAAGTTTAAGATTTTGAAAACCTTTTTTGAAAATTTATATCTTAAACTAGGCCTAGCTTAAGGGTTAGATAAGAGTACCTTAAACTTGAATATAGTTTAACTATGTTAGACTAGAATTCGTTTAAGAGTTGGTAAACATCAAATAGATTGGCCTTAGACTAAGAATAGTTTAAGGATATTGTTGAATGACAAATGATGAATAATATTGTATGATGTATGTTGAATAAAAATGTTGAATATGAATGATGAATATACATAATGCATATTGATTATTGAATATCTAAACTGAACATTATGTGCATGATATCAAATGGTTGATTATGAATTGAGATTCAATTTATGTGGATGTTCGACGCATTAGATATGCTTACTCAGCTTTACCGCTGAGCGTGTAGTGTGTTTTATTTGCTACACGCAGGTCAATAGAATGATGTGATGTGATCCTGGAGGCAGACGGGGGCGAGATAGTCAGAATGGATGTGATGGTTTTGAATTAAAGAATATAAATAAATTATGTTTGTGGTTATAATTTGTTAAGCTTCCGCAATATTGAAAACTCTGTACTGTTCATGATATGAAAAATATTATTATAATAAATAAAAGTGTTTGAAAAGTTTTAAATTTTACGATTACCAAGTTAATACTTTAGTCTGAAAGGGGCTGCAGACCTGGACGGATTAGGGTGTTACACAAATAGTTACAACTTGGAAATTGAATTTTCTTTGAGGGAAATGCTTCCTTCACAAACACAACCGTCACAAACTTACTATTTGTGAACTTTAATAAAAAAAATTAAATAGTCTAAAATAATTTTAAAATGAAAATTTAAATAATAAATACTCCCTCCGTTCTCAAAATAGAAATCATCCTAAATAGGACTAAAACATAGAGAAAAGTACCAAAATAGGACTTTCATGTTTTTTTTCTCGGAATAGGACTTTGCATTGTGGTAATGTGACTTTGCATTGTGGTAATGTTGCAGTGTACATGTGCAAATTACTATACTTTCTTGGTAATGTATATGACCATGTTTGGTAATGTAAGTCCTATTTCGGGAATAAAAATATGGAAGTCCTATTTTGGTATATCTTCAATGTTTTAGTCCTACTTTGGTCTTTCTCCCTTCTCAAAAACACTTCCTCTTTCATTTTTTTCACTTCCAACAAAACACTTCCCCTTTCTATTAAAAAACCACTTTAACCCTTACTTTTTCATACCCTACCTATCACATCATACTTTTTCTCTAATAATAAATCCATCACATCTTACTTTTACACATCACATCAGGGGCAAAATTGGAAGTCAACTATAATTTTACACTTCCTTATTTTGCCTTATAGTCAAAGTGGGAAGGCTTTTTCCAAACGGGGGTGTAGTAAGTTTGTGAAAGTTGTGATCATTATGTTTGTGAACCTAGCATTATTCTTTCTTTGACGTCCAAGTAATAGGACATCCACCAATCCTGTCATCCATTTTCAAGGCATTGTTAAAATCTCCAATAACACATCATGGGTTAGAAGAGGCTATTTGTTTAAGGCCGTTCCACAGATCACAGCTCTTTGCTATCTCATTTTGTCCATACACAAATGTAATGTAGAATTCCTTTGCATCTTTACATCTTCTACATTTACAATGAACCCACTGATCAGATATCTCCAAAATTTCAAGCTTAATTTTATTAGGTTTCCACACTATTCATATCCTACCCAAGGGATGGGCAGAATTATTAATGAAGGAGTTCCAACCCTGACAAATTCTCTTCTCAATACTACTAAAATTACCTTCTATTATTTTGGTTTCCAATAATCCAAACAACTCAAAATTATTCTTATTAAGGAAGAAGATAACTTCCTCCCAGCCTGTTTATTTGGGCTGTTCAGCCCTCTTATATTCCAGCAACCAATCATTTGAGGAAGGGATAATGCCCCTCATATGAGGCTTTCTCTAACAATTTTTGGAGCTTACTCATAAAGTCCCCTTCCTCTATATTCATAAGGATCCTTTTAGATACTTTTTTCTCACTTACAACTGTGAAACCTTCTTCATCTGGTGGTGATTCTGTTCCCTTTTCTTTCTGGGGTTGGTCTGTCTTTCCAGGCCCCTCATCATCTATTTGAACATCCTTATTTCCCTTTGGCCTCCACACCACTCTTTTTTGTTTATCCTCCTGCTTCTTTGTATCCTTCTTTCTGCAATTATCTTGAAGATGCCCTAGTTTTTTGCAGTTGGAACAGATGCAATCAATTTTCTGGGTTATGGCTCTCCCTTCATCATCAATAAAAACAATATCCTTTGGAAAGTGCTGATGAACTTTGACCTCTATTTGAATTCTAGCAAAAGCATACTTGGTTTTTCTTGCAGTTGCCTTGTCTCTTTTAATTGGCTTCCCTATGAGGCTGCCCAGTTTGCTTAGCCCTGACAAACTCCAGTACTTAACCTCCAGATCTGGAAATTGTACACATATTGGGATGTCTGACAAATCCTCAATATTAAGCTTCATCCCTGGTTTCCATTGTTGGACCAATACTAGTTTATTGTCAAAATAATAATATCTCCTTTTGATAATATCCTTCATATCATCTTCCTTTTTAAAGCTCACTAAGAACTGTCCCTCCTTTAATACTTCCACACTATCAATAGGGCATGATTTCCATATACGATTGACATAACCTTTAACTACCTCCAAGGGAGGATTTGCCTGCAAAATACAACACACTACCGTGGATTTCCAGTAAGTAATAGTATCAATGACATCATCATTCGTAAATTGTGCAACTAGGTTACCATTTACCTCAATTGCAGGAATGAATTGGAGATTCGTGTCTTGATCGGCAATACCCGCTACAACTTCTGCAAAGGTATATGGATTTTGCCTCTGTTTAGCTTCGACTCCCCCCTCTTCCTCTAGGGTATTCCTCTCCTTGGGATCTGTTTTTCCATCAGTACAAATAACTTCCAGATTAGGAGTAGATTGTGCTGGCGATCCTTCCCTTTTCTTATCGTTCTTCTCGTCACCCTTATTACTTCCTGGTTCTTGCCTATTTCCTTTTGAAACATTACCTGGAGCGTTGCTTGGTGTCATCTTCTTCCTAGGTCTTCCTCGTCGCCCAACATGGCTAGAGAGAGAAAGCCCTTTATTTTACTCTTTTTAATGTATATATGAATTGTAATACTTTAAAACTATTAAATTTGGTAATAATTTTTTAAGTTTAATTTAGAGCAAGTTGAAATTCATTTACACGAGATCTAATTAGATAAAATCAGATCTAATTAGATCCAATCATATTAAATTAGATTCAGACCAAATTAGATCAGATCGAATCAGATCAAATCAGACCAAATTAGATCAGATCGAATCAGATCAAATTAGATCCAATCTATTTAGATCAAGATTGCAAAAATTTAGATGAGATTCAATCATATCTGGCCTAGCCTACACCTGCAAACCTTTGTGTATAAAAAAAACACTCCTAGAGTCCTAGATTCAGAAGTAGCATGGCTGAACTTTATTAGGCAAATTTCGTTACACTACTCCCTACTTTTGTTCTAAATTAAAATTTTTATTTACGTTTTCACACTTTTAAAAAAATAAAACCATGTACTACGTAATTGAAACTTTTACCCTCTCTTTTAGCAAACTAAATCCGCTCTAACTTGTTACGCATTTTATAAAACACTTTAAGTCTACCCAAAGCAATTTCTTTATGTCATAGAAGAGAAATAGGATGCATTCATGAATATTTTAGATGGGTAAAAGTGTCCTATGGATGCCAAAAAAAATTAGGTGGAAGGTAAAACTGAGAGAGTAGAAAAGAGCGAAAAATAATGTGAATAGTTCGATCATTTCTAGTGCAAGTTTGTGGTTTTATTTTTAGTGATAAGACTTTTTAAAAGTTGGTGCATTATAAAAACAAAGTCTCGGATCTTATATTCATTTTTAAAGTAATTAATTGACTTTTTGTAAATTACTTATGTTGATCTTGATTTATATTAATTTATAGACAATTATATGAATTATATTTATATTAAATTTATTATTTTTATAAATGTATTTCGGTGACCTATTTCCCACACATGATTTGTGAGACTCATATCTACATTGATTAGTCTTATCATTTTTGTTGACTGGTGTTTGAAAAACCATGTAATTGAAAGAAAAAATCGCATATCAAATGCAAAAATTTCTTAAAGAGAGTCCAAGAGAAGTTTTAATTTGTTCGGTAATCAACGCACGAAAATAACAAAATATTATTTTTTTATTAGCAGAATTTAATTAAAAACATTGATGGGAAAACCTTTTTTTATGAAAAAACAACAAAAAAACATTTTTTTACTAAACAAAAATTAAAAACATAAATAGTTTTAATAGTAAAACCTTTTTTTGATGAACAACAATTAAAATTATATTCTTTACTAAAAAATGAAAAATACAATTCATTGAAAACATAACACTAACAATACCTTTTAAGTTTGGAGAAAGACCAAAGTAGGACTAAACCATTGAAAATATACCAAAATAGAACTTCAATATTTTTATTCCCGAAATAGGACTTAAAATACATTTACATTACCAAAAAGTATAGTAATGTGTACATGTATAGTGTCACATTACCACACTGGAAAGTCTTATTTCGGAAAAAATATGAAAGTCTTATTTTGGTACTTTTCTCTATATTTTAGTCCTACATTTACGATGATTTCATATTTTTTTCCTCTTAAATAGGACTAAAACATAGAGAAAAGTACCAAAATAGGACTTTCATGTTTTTTCCCGAAATAAGACTTCACATTGCAATAATGTAGTTGTAATGTAGCATTGTACATGTGCACATTACTATACTTTTTGGTAATGTACATGACCATGTTTGGTAATGTAAATGCATTTTAAGTCCAATTTCGGGAATAAAAACATGGAAGTCCTATTTTGGTGTATTTTCAATGTTGTAGTCCTACTTTGATCTTTCTCGTCAATTAGGACTAAAATATAGAAAAAAATACCAAAATAGGACTTTCATAATTTTTTTTCCGAAATAGGACTTTGCATGTGACAATGTGACACTGTAAATGTGCACATTACTATACGTTTTGGTAATATACATGACCATGTTTGGCAATGTAAATGCATTTTAAGTCCTATTTCAGGGATAAAAATATGAAAGTCCTATTTTAGTACTCCCTCCGTTCTCAAAAACACTTCCTCTTTCATTTTTTCCACTTCCAATACAACACTTCCCCTTTCTATTAAAAAACCACTTTTACCCTTACTTATTCATACCCTACCTATCACATCATACTTTTTCTCTAATAATCTATCCATCACATCAGGGGCAAAATTGGAAATCAACTATAATTTAACACTTCCTTATTTTTGCTTCCCAATCAAATTGGGAAGGGTTTTTCCAAACGGAGGGAGTATATTTTAAATGTTTAAGTCCTGCGTTAGTCTTTCTTTCTTATGAATTAAGTTGAGGTCTTTTTTAATGAACAAACACTGATAGGTATTACCTAACATTAGTCGAGTTAAGCAGGCCAAAAAATTAGGGATGGGACTAGACCTAGTAAAATAGAATCGGAACCAAAATCAAAACGATCTAAAAAGAGAAGATCCAGTTTATAACCGAATAATCAAAATGTTTGGAACCACACCGAAACTAAAAATATCCGTACCCGGTTTAATCCAAAATCAATCAAATTCGACCAATTAGATCCAAAACTGATTAAACTCAAAACTGATGAAACCCAAAACCGATAAGATCCGAAATTGATAAGACCTAAAACTGATAACATTTGAAAATGTTTATATCCAAAATTGATTCTGCGTGACAATAAACATATTATATTTATGTACATTAATGAATAATTTCATTCATGTGATTTCAAAATTTTTATTTTTATTTTACCATTTGAACTACTTATATATTTATTTTACTTACTCCCTACGTCCCATATCATAATGATATATCTTATTACAAGATCGTAAAGATATCCACCATTAGGTGTGTCTTATTACACTAGCTGCATCAAGGGGTTGGGAACTCTCTTAGCTTGACATCAACATTACTTTTCTTCATGGAGACCTCACTGACAAAGTATACATGAAAGTTCCTCTAGGTTTTCCGATCCCAATTCTACCAAAAAGATTTGTCTTATCAAGAAATCTCTTTATGGCTTTAAGCAAGCTAGTAGGCAATGGTTTTAGACTCTCTTAGCTACTTTTCATTCACAAGAGTTTGTTACCCCAAAGAGTGATCATAATTTATTCATTAAATATACTACTGATCACATAACCATTGTTGTTGTTTATGTGGATAATATTTTAGTCATTGGTTCTGATTATACCAGCATTTTTTCCCTCAAAGAACTCCTTGATAGAGCTTTTACTATAAAGGATCTTGGTATAACTCACAATTTTCTCGGGTTTGATCTTACACTTTTGAAGGGATTATTCTCTTTCAAAGGAAGTTCACGATACACCCAAAAGGATTCCTCTTCCTCAGAATTCAAAACTACAGTACGAGACTTCTTCATTATACTATGTGCTGATCCTATACACTACAGAAGTTTGATAGGAAAACCAAATTTCCTTACTCATACTAGACCTGACATTTCATACTCTGTTCAAATCCTAAGTCAATTCATGCAACATCCTGAAGAAACACACATGCAGGCCAGGGGCTTTACATCTTCTTCATTATCTATTTGGCACATTGGATCAAGGCATTCTCATGAAAGGATTACACACCTTGTCTTTACATGCTTTTTCTAACTCGGATTAGGATGCTTGCCCTTTCTCCAGAAGATCTATCATAGGGTTCCTTGTTCTTCTTAGAGGTTCTCCCATATATTGGAAATCAAGAAGCAATGTACTGCTTTCAAATCCTCTTTAGATGCAGAGTACAGAGCTATGTACCAAGTTGCTTGCGAGGTCACTTGGTTAGTTTGTTTGCTAGAGGAACTTTAGGTCTCTAATCTCAATCCCATCATTCTTCATTGTGATAATCAATCTACCGTATATATTGCACGCAATCTTGTTTTTCATGAGCGAGCCAAACATGTTCAAATAGATTGCCATTTCACTAGGGAAAAGGTTCTTGAAGGGTTAATCCAGTTATCTTACCTTCCCACCACCAATCAACTTGCTGATGTTGTCACCAAAATCATACATGCGAAGCAATTCCAGAGGCTTCTGTCCAAGCTGGGTATGATGTCACGCCNGGGGGGGGGGGGGGGGGGGGTGTGTGGAGTAGAATCCCCTGCAAGCAAACCTTCTTTTCTGTTTTCGATTTTCCCTTATTTAGGGTATGTGTTTTTATCTTTTTTGTAATTTTTGTTTAGTTGGTTCGCAGATATTGTAGTTATATACTCTCTCCGTTTCTCAAAACGGTTCCTTTTTTGACTTTGGGAAAAAATAAGGAAATGTTAAATTGTAGTTGACTTTCCAAAATTGCCCTTGATGTGATGGATAAAAGTAAGATGTGATAGTTTAATTGTTAGTGAAAAAGTATGATGTGATAGATAGAGTATGAAAAAGTAGGGGTAAAAGTGGTTTTTAATAGAAAAAAGAAGTGTTTTAAGAAAAACAAAAAAAAATGAAAAAGGAACGGTTTTAAGAAACGGAGGGAGTATGTTTTGTTTGTTGCTCTATAAATGTGATGGATGAATAATGAGGAAATGGTTATTTACTTTCTCTCTAAGATTTAACAGGAAGATTGGGTTGTGAAGATCCAGGCTAGCTTCGAAGTTTCATTCAAAAGTAATTGTAGGGATTTATTGGCATTAGAACATAAGGTTACACTCTGGCGATATGATTTAGGGGGTGTATTCAATTAGGATTCTGACGGATTTTTTTTGATTTTGAAAATCTATAGGTATTCAATTTAGATTTTAAAAAATCATTTAAAATCTAGATGTATTCAATTCTGATTTTAAAAAATCCTTCTAAATATGATGACATTAAAAAATTGAAAGATTTTTTAAGATTTTTAATAATAGAGATTTTGATGGATTTTCATGCATTAGGTATAAATACAAATCCAATTCCAAATCCTATTAAAAGCCCTGGGATTTTGCTAAGTTCTTCTGCACCATCTCTTCCGCACGAAGCCTTTTGTTCTTCCGCACCAGGCC